AGCCTCTACACAGTCTTCAATAATACCAGAACCATTATCAATAATGCAACCTTCAAACGACATAGTGACGTTACAACAACAGCCTTACGTTCATTCTTGGACGTTACGAGGTTTTCATGAATTAGTCAGACTAATGTCTCCCAACAGTTACCTGTACAGTGACAGATTTAGATCTCCAAGAGGTTCATTTGATGCAAATTTATTATGTCCTCTCGGAGCTTTGACGAATGACTTTTCATGTCCTGTTCAACCTCATCCTCAACTTCAACCTCACATACAGCCTCTTTTACAACCTCATATACAACCTCATATACAACCTCATATACAACCTCATATACAACCTCACATACAACCTCACTTACCACCTCACCTTCAATCTCACCTTCAATCTCACCTTCAATCTCACCTTCAACCTCACCTTCAACCTCACCTTCCTTCTCAACCTCAATTAACAACTCCTAGTTTCTCATGTTGTCAAATGAATCGTAGACAAAGAAGTAACTCTTCACTTTTGAATGACGATTCCGCTTATCTATGGCGTATGAGGATTTATCCTAACGGTTATGGTTCGAGAAAAACTAGTGCAGGTCACAGTCACATTTCCATATACCTAGAGGCAATCCAAACACTTTTTGAAAAACAAAATTTTTTTTTTAAACGAAGTGTTCAATTCAAATTTTCACTTTATCGTTTAATAAAAAATTCTCAATCAAATTCTCCATTAAATAATCAATCATCAAGTAGATCTGATTATCATAGTTCATCAACTTTTTCAAGAAATAATTCTTTATTAAATCAAGATTCTTCAAAAGAACATCCTGAATTAATTTATGAAGGTACTTTACAAAAATGGAATTTCGAATTTAATGGTATAAATACTACTTATGGTTTCCCAACTTTAGGAACTTTTCATGATTTATTTCCTTTTGATGATATAAACATTCATGAAGTTGATTTAGTAGTTCGTGTTCATATTTTTAATTATAATTTACCTCATTTTTCGGATTTTTGTAATGGTTGTTTTTCTTCTGATAATTGTCTTTTATCGGATTCTTCTCCCGCTTCTTTTGAAAAATTTTTCAACAATGAAGCTTTTTATGATGT